CCCGCCCAACCGGGACCGGGACCGGGAATGGGGCCCGGGACCGGGAGAGGAGGACACCCCTCCCTCCGGGGGGCACCGGTCACGCGTGGGGTCACCGTGTCCTTCCCCAGCCCCCGGCCCCGAGCAGCGCCGTTACCAGCCCCCCCCCCCGCGTTAACGGCCTCCCGGTGCCACCCCCGGACACCTCCCACCAGCCCAGGTTGCTCCAAGCCCCCTCCAACCTGGCCTTGAACCCCTCCAGGGATGGGGCAGCCACAGCTTCTCTGGCCAACCTGGGCCAGGCTCTCACCACCCTCAGGGGGGTGGGATGGAGAGATGGAGATGGATGAGGGATGGATGGAGGGAGAGAGATGGATGGATGGATGGATGGAGGGATGGAAGGAAGGACAGATAGATGGACAGAAAGATGGACAGATGGAGGGATAGTTGGATGGACAGAGGGATGGATATAGATAGATGGAAGGATGGATGGAAGGAGGGAGAGACGGACAGATGGACAGACTAATGAAAGGAGGGATAGGGATGGAGGGATGGAGGGATGGAGATGGATGGATGGTTGGGATGGATGGACAGACAGAGATGGATGGAAGGAGGGATAGATGGATGGACAGATGGTCAGACGGATGGATGGATGGAGATATGGACAGAGATGGACCGAGGGATGGATAGACAGATGAGTGGATGGATGGATGGATGGATGGATGGATGGATGGATGGATGGATGGAGATAGATGGATGGATGGATGGATGGTTGGGGGGATGGATGAAGCTGAACTGATGGCTGGGACAGGGGATGGAGAGATACACTGCTGGACAGACAGCCAGCAGGACAAACGGCAGGGCAGCCAGGCAGGAGGCCAGGGGCACGGTGCTGTGCTCCAGCCCCACGGCCCTAACCTGCGCTGTGCCACGCTGGTGGCCAAGCACCGGGCAGGGACCTCGGACCCCTGGTGTTTCCAAGATGTCCCCATGCCATGGACATGCCTGCACCCCACTGTGATCAGTGCTCCTCAAGATGTCCCCATGGACATGCCCACAGTCCTGGTGGCACCACGGCTCTGCCACCCTGCCCCACCCTTCTCGCTCTGAGACACCCTTCGGAAAGTCAACAAAAATGGGTTTATTGGCAGTTTTGGTTCGTTCCTACCCCAGTGGAGCCCCTGAGGGGGGGGTCAGTGCCCCTCTGCCAACTGGCACCACCCTGGGGAGATCCCCCTTCTTCTGGGGACAGGACAGAGCTCCCCCCATGCCCCTGCTTCACCCCACGCCAGCCCCTTGGCATGGGCCAGCCCTCGTTTGGGGGGTTTTAAGTTCATTTCAGGGTTTTCAGAGTTTCAGTTTTTCCATCGGCCACCCCTGGATGCCGCTCTCCGTGCCGTGTGCCGGGTGGGACCCACAGCGAGCACCAAGGGAGAGTGCCAGGGACACGAGCATCACCAGGAGCCACCATGGCCCCCAGAACGTCTCAGGGGCAGAGGGCAGCGGGGGGCGGCCAGCTCTGATGGGGTACGGTGGCAGTGGGGATGGTGGCAGAGTTGATGGTGGGGATGGTGGTGGTGGGGAAGGTGGCAGAGGTGATGGTGGCGGCAGGGATGGTGGCAGCATTGATGGTGGCAGAGTTAATGGTGGGGATGGTGGTGGAGATGGTGGTAGAGGTGATGGTGGTGGCAGGGATGGTGGGGATGGTGGCAGAGTTGAGGGTGCCCAGGATGGTAGCAGAGTTGAGGGTGGGGATGGTGGTGGTGGGGAAGGTGGCAGAGGTGATGGTGGCGGCAGGGATGGTGGCAGCATTGATGGTGGCAGAGTTAATGGTGGGGATGGTGGCAGAATTGATGGTGGAAGAGTTGATAGTGCCGGGGATGGTGGCAGAGTTGACGAGGATAGGGATGGTGGCAGAGTTGATGGTGCCCAAGATAGTGGCAGAGTTAATGGTGCCAGGGATGGTGGCAGAGTTGATGGTGGGGATGGTGGTGGTGGGGATGGTGGTAGAGTTGATGGCGCTCAGGATGGTGGCAGAGTTGATGGTGCCAGGGATGGTGGCAGAGTTGATGGTGCCAGGGATGGCGGTGCCCAGGATGGTGGCAGAGTGGATGGTGGAAGAGTGGATGGTGCCGGGGATGGTGGCAGAGTTGATGGTGGGGATGGTGGTGCCCAGGATGGTGGCAGAGTTGATGGTGGCAGCAGAGATGGTGGAAGAGTTGACGGTGCCGGGGATGGTGGCAGAGTTGACGGTGGTGGCAGAGTGGATGGCGCTCAGGATGGTGGCAGAGTTAAAGGTGGCGGAGCTGATGGTGGGGATGGTGGTGGGGACGGTGCCGGCGGTGGGGACGGCGGTGGGGACGGCGGTGGCGTGGGTGCGCTCGTGGCGCAGCAGATGGGTTTTGCGGCTGAAGCTCTTGCCGCACTGGGTGCAGATGTAGGGCCGGTGGCCGGTGTGCACCGCCTGGTGCCGGGCCAGGTTGGTCTTGGAGCTGAAGCGCTTGCCGCACTGCCCGCAGCCGTGGGGCCGGGTGCCGGTGTGCACCGCCTGGTGCCTCTCCAGGTGGGATTTTCGGCTGAAGCCCCGGCCGCACTGCCCGCAGGCGAAGGGCCGGGCGCCGGCGTGGGCTTTGGCGTGGGCCAGCAGGTTGGGACGGGAGCCGAAGCGGCGGCCGCACTGGGGGCAGGGGAAGGGGCGCTCGCCCGTGTGGACCCGCAGGTGCCGCAGGAGGTGCTGGTTGTGGGCGAAGGCGCGGGGGCAGTGGGGGCAGGCGAAGGGCCGCTCGCCCGTGTGCGTGCGCTGGTGGCTGGCCAGGTTGGGCTTGTGGCTGAAGGTCTTCTCGCAGTGGGGACACGCGTAGGGCTTGAGCCCCATGTGGCCGCGCAGGTGGGCCGTCAGGTGCCGCTTGTCGCCGAAGCCCCGGCCGCACTCGGCGCAGGCGAAGGGACGCCCTTCCCGGTGCAGCCGGCGGTGAGACGCCAGGTTCTTCTTCCAGCTGAAGCTCTTCCCGCATTCCGGGCACGGAAAGGGTTTCTCCTCCGTCGGGACGCCCCCGTCGTCGTCCCCCGGTGCCGCCGGCTCGGCGTGGAGCTGCTGGTGCCGCAGGAGGTGCTGCTTGTGGGCGAAGCGGCGGCCGCAGCGGGCGCAGGGGAAGGGGCGCTCGCCGGTGTGGGTGCGCTGGTGCCGCACCAGGTGGGTTTTCTTACGGAAACGCCGGCCGCATTCGGGGCAGGGGAAGGGTCTTTCCCCCGTGTGGGTCTTCTGGTGGGAGCGGAGGTGGATCTTCTGGCGGAACCGGCGGCCGCACTGGCCGCAGGGGTAGGGCCGCTCGCCCGTGTGGACCCGCAGGTGCCGGGTGAGGTGAGCCTTCTTCCCAAAGCCCTTCCCGCACTGGGCGCAGGCGAAGGGGCGCGGGGGGGTCCCGCAGCCCCTGCAGGAGCCGCTTTCGCCCTCGCCCGGGCCCAGCCCCCCGTGGAAGCAGCCCCCGCCGGCCGGGCTCTGGCCCAGCAGCGGCCAGGGCGACATGGCGAAGGTGGCCAACTCGCCGTAGCCCAGCTCCTCCGGGCACGGCCGCTCCGCTTTGCAGTTGCCCCCGCAGCCCAGCGTGTCGGCGGCGGCTGGGGGGGGGAACACCCCGGAGGGGGGCTGCCCCCCCAGCAGGGCTTCGGGGCCGGCTGGCCATTCTTCATACTCTTCTTCCACCTTCACCTTCCTCACCAGCCAGTCCTCTGCGGGGCACAGAGGGTGGGGGCGGTGGGGGACCGTGCCCGCTCCCCCCAGCACCCCACACGGCTCCACTGGCCGTGGGGACGGAGTGACCGTCACCGCCTGTCCCTGGGGGGACACACGACCGTGGCGTTGCCCTCACCTGAGCAGCCGTGGTCCAGCCCCCCCGGCTCCTCGCCATCGCCCTCGGGCATCGCCTCCACCTTGGGGACCACCAACAGCCCTGGGGAGACAAAGGGGGCAAAGCCAGTGTCCCCCCCCATCGCCAGGAGGGTCCCTCACCCCGTGGGGACCCCAGGAGCTGGGGGGGGGACAGGCAGGACCCCCCTGGTACCCACCTGAGCTGGCACAGCTTGACGCCCCCGTCTCCTCCGCCTGCGGCACCGGCTCCGGCTTCACCATGGGGGGGCCTGAGAGGGAGGGGACAGGGCTGAGCCCCCCCAGTGGTGCCCACCTTGCCCCTTCCTGGGGGGCTGGGGTGGTCCCGCTCCCCCAGCCCCCCCCAGCGCGTACCCAGGGTGCACAGGGCGTCCAGGCTCTCCCTCATGGCGCGGCTCCGGTGCTCGGGGGGGGGCTGGGGAGGAACGGCAGGGGTCCC